ATCTAGAAGAAAAATAGGAAACATAGATCTCGTTTAATTTGGTTTAGATTAAAATAAGTATGTTTTAAATAATATGACGATAAAAATACGTATAGTTTGAAATAAACAACAAAACTGTCAGATATANATTTTATATTTTTTTTTTTTTTAATTTTTTTTTTAATATAACGATATTCTCACATCATGAAAGATAGCCTGACCTACTGAACAAATGGTCCCTAACATAGCATAATTTAAATTAGAAGATCTACCACTTATTGTTATAATCTCCTATTCGTAAATAGGAAAGTACGAATAAAAATCAAAAAGAAAAAATACACATTAACCTCAAAAGGAAACAAACACCAATAGCACAAAAGATAAAACTATTATAAATATAGGAGAACAATGATAAATACTAAAATTAGACAAACGAGGATAAATTTGCTTCTTGGACTGGGAAAACATTGCACTATACCGCTGTAATTGTAGCCACTTGATATGTAAACTTTCATAAGTAGAACATTAAGTATTAAAAAACTTTCCTATCGCACTGTAAGAATATTACTGTACCCATAAATAAACGGTAAATAGCTTTCAAGTTAAACACAAAAATTAATTTTTAAAAAACAAAAAGGTATGACTATTATTCCACAATTTTATTGCCATAGGAAAAAAGGTTACTTAAAACAAGGCCATCAAAATAGAAAAAAATTTGAACATCCTGATTGGCGAAGGAATAAAAGTCAAAAATACATTATAATTTACTAAATTAATTTTCTTGAAACTTGAATAACGGAAAGTAGCCTTTACAAAAGGCAAAAATCACATAATTATAAACGATTCTAAACCGAATTGTCGAATAAAAGCTCGGAAATACTATAATAATTTCAACAAAATCTTCAGTTTAATTGTTTGACTACTTTGAAAACTTAGCATATGTGGAGGTTGTAAAATTCTACGTCAATTAAAGTTTTTTTTTCTTTTTTTTACAATTACAACTATGTATAAATAAATACCTTGCATTTATTTCCATTGAACCAAGCGTTTACCTGCAAAAGACAATAGAAATTAGATATTTTCATAATAATCTGTCAAACAATAAAATTAAAATCAAATAATAGTATTATTATTATTTTTTTAAGAGGTTTCCCAACAGCAGAGGACAACATCAGGGTGACGATGTTTTTGAAAAAAAAAAGCCCATTTGTAAGTATGTCGGGTTCGAATGCAGGGCCACTGGATTCGAACCCGAGACCTTTACCTTAGTGATGAGCGCCATGTCAACGCCTAAACATTGCGGCAACCTACGCCCCCAATAAATTGGGTTAAGTTTAAAATTACATTACGTTGACTAGGGTTGAGAAATGTACATTATGCTATATGCTTTATACCTTTATGCTCAATAATTCACCTGAAACCCGTTCATAGAGAAAAAGTGCTATGCTCAGTAGATAAATATACACATTCATAGGCGACATAAGATATACATAGGCGTACGCATGCGATTACCACCCCACACTATGAGTTACTGTAAACTTGATGAGACATTTTTTTTTTGTTTTATAGAAAGCAAAAGAGGGGCTTTTAGAACAGTCATGAAGCTAGTGTGATAATTGGATGAATGAGGAAAATGTATACATGTCTTTTGTCAAATGAGGAAGAAATTTCTTTTCTTAAGCTTAGACGGTAATGCAAAAATCGGCTGATTTTTTTTCTCCTAAAACGATTAGTGTTTGTTCCAAAGCAACGGCCTACTGGGTAAACCCGGATAAGGAAGAATTGGTTTGCTTCTTCTGTTTTTGTCATAAACACGGTGCAAGTGTTGTAAACTGGTTGAGGAAGAAGTTGTCATCAACTTTAAACGAAATACTACTATCAAAGAAATTACAATCATTTGCTATTGTTTACAACGTTTTTTGAATCAAAGGAAGAGTCTAGTGCGATAGAGTCAATGAAGAAGAGTTCTTCTAATTATTTAAGTATATAACAAAGTTTTGAGGTAATACAATGGTAAAGTGAGGAAGAATTTGTTTTAAAAGACTTTGATCAAAATGGGTCGGTGAGTTAAGCAGGTTATTGAAGAAATTCTTATACATTTCCTGATGTTTAAGTGAGGTTTTCTGGACGGAGTGTGAACTTCGTGTTAGAGGTCTCGTTACAATCCAAAACATTTGTAAGAGAATTTCATTTAGGATGCTTCCAAGCAGACAATAGCAAACATATTTTTTTATTTTCTGCGGTCGTTGCGCCGAAACCTTGTGGATAATTAAGGAGAGCAGATGTGGTTCAAAGGCCATTCAAAATGGAGACGGCTGAGTAAAGAATGCTCTCGGATGCCATGGACTCGCTTTGAACGGATCAAAGGGAATATTTCAGGGCGCCTTTGCTATCAAGCCTCGTTAGCGACAAAGAGGACGTTCAACAGTTGGCCACCCTGTAACATCTCATCTAATCAAGAAAATAAACCCTCAAGAACGTCCCATAGCTGTCACAGTCAAGATGACCTGCTTTTTATACATTCTTTATATTCAACATGCAACTGACATTCTTCAAGAGATTGTTTCTACCCTTTTCTGTCTTTGCAAGCCAAAGTTGGATGATGTTTCTCAACAGATCTCTATTTTTCATAATTATGTAAAACGTTTTGAAATATTTCAATAAACACTGATTGGTGGTTGCGAACTTGGTGATGGCAAGTGAAGAAGTAGTATTTCTTGCCTAACTGTTTCAAATTCTCACCCATTGAGTGTCGCGGACGATTGTGATGATTCTATTCATTCTAAATAAATATGCACTGTATTTTTGTCAAACCAGCTAGCAGTTTTCAACCACCTGATATCCATTTTTAAAAATACTGCATATTTCAACTTTTTCACAATTTTAACATACATTTTCCCTATTCCTTTTTAAATCAGTGTTTTGTCCTCATTGCTGTTAATTTAAGGGGAGGACAGATGGTTTCATTATAATTACTAATTACATTTAAAATATTAACATAATTTTCTAGTAAACTACAGTTTTCCGTTTTTCCAGTTAATCCTGATTCCACCCTACATTTAGATCGTCATATCTATAGGCCTACGGGATGAAAAATCTATTGTTTGATAGTTACGTAGCATCTCTATCCGCGCTGATTTTTGTTAGTTCTGACGCGTTTCAGCATTTCGCCATCTTCAGTGTTTTTGATAATTCGGGGACAACCCAAACACTGAAAATGGCAAAATGCCGAAACGCTTGGGGAAAAAAAATAATACGTAACTATCAAACATCTATATGTACTTCCTTTACACTACTGCAGAACTTACCGTCGTAATAATTTAAGAATATAAAATATGAATCTGCCATGTTGAATGAAAATCAGGAAAAGACAAAGTCAGTTTTACTCTTACAAAACTCTCATAATTTGAATATTCTCATATACTTTAATATAATTGACGTTACGCCCTCAACTTTAGCCTTGACTCAATAAACATTTTATCGACACCCTGCAAACCAATGGATGGGATGTAGTATGGCATTCTGTCAGAGTTTTGCTAACGTTTATTTATAATATTCAGAAGAAAAAATTATCAAAAACGATAGTAATAAAAAAAAATGAAAAATTTAAAAAAAGAATGAGATAGAGTAGGTTACGGTACTGAACGAACATACTGGTATCCTATAATTAAAAATAATGAACTTTTTTTAAATATTACTATCGTTAGAGGTTATTTGCAAATTATCACGACTAAAAGACCTAACTGCCATTTCTTGGCCAGGCAGCAACTGAAAGATAACATCTTCTAATGGCCACAATCACTTAGCTAATTGCCCAAACAAGCAGTATGCCAATAAAGCTATCATCGGCGGGACACTAACTAAATAGATACCTATTTTGAATTTTTTTTAATTAACGAGAATAACGATAAATTATACATGTAAACTACAAAATCGAAAATAATTTATGTATTAATTACCGTAGCCAGTTTTCTGTTGTAAAGGGCGTTATTTTTTATGTCTGCAGTAAATTAGAAACTTCACACGCCTTATCATAATAATCAAAACCATAAGTCTATTTACGCAGATCTATGGTACAGTACACGATAGAAGAATGGAGAATCTCATCGTATGGAATCGTATACGGTTAATTACTTCATCTTAAAAAAAAAACTGACGATTGAATCCAATACCACCCCGAATAAATTCAGTATTCGTGGAAAATGGGCCGACTTGGAAGTGATTGGAAATTAGATTGGCAAAATAAAGTCTCGTATTTTGACGCGGCAAATATTGTGTCAACCTAACCCCACTACATCTGTTTAGAATACCTAACTTCAGACTGGAATCAATGAAAATAACAAAAATATGCATACAGAGACCGTTATATGAAAGGGTTTCGTAAAGAAGATGACTAAAATGTTACAAAAAAATCATTAATAACGAGCAATTGTATCACGAGATAATTATTTTGGTTAGATTTTAAAAATGAATTACAAAACAAATAAAGAAAAACTTTATATCTACCTATACAAATAGCGAAAAAGACATCTAAACAGGATATTGCTGCGTTAAAATTCTACATTAACAATAATATTAAAAAGTATTTTTTTACAAGGGTTCGCAACAGCAGGGGTCATATCAACAAGTATGTCAGGTCGAATGCAGCAGGGCCGTAGGATTCGTACCCGATTTCTCGCCATATACAGTCTATCTTGCCTTGATATCTGCCTTAATTTACAAAGAACAAAACATTGATTCAATGTACCTCTTTCACAAACCTCCACTGAAAAAGCCGGAACGGGTCTGTCAGACCGATATATCTATGACAGGCCGGCCAAAATGATCGTAAACGACCTAATGACAAGAAACCCACTCTGCAGATCTCGATAGAAAATCTCACAAAAATAATTGCATAAAATTTGTTTTCTCAATTAGCATACGTATGAATTAAAGCCTAACTTATTTTTAAAACGTCCTCCCTGAATAACGCGCTTCTTTTCTCTTTTCAAAGCTGTGCAAGCGAGCTAACCTTCCCTTGAAATTAATATAACTCATGTAGAGACGATTTTGACACACTATACGGCATGGAGTTAAATTAATGAATGGAAGCCTCTTTGTTATCAATATTCCTCTCTCTTGCAATTAACTCCCATTTAAACAATCAATTAGCTTCATTTTTCAAATTTTCTGCAAAATTGTTCACACATTTGTAATTTAGTCGAGAAAAATAGTAATCATATTAATCTTGTCTTTGTTTCCATGGTCCTTTAAAATACAGCTGCAATTTTATCGGCACTTATTTTACCAGCACTTACAACAAAACAATATCCACGGAAACATGTGATAGCTGAAAACGCAAGTTTTTAAAACGGCCCAAAAACATGGAGAACAAAGTGTCCATGCCTCGTTTTAAAAACTTGAATTGTCAGCAATCTTCACCTTTTAGAAAAGGCAGGGGTGAAAACAAAAAAGTCAGCGTAAGATAAGGAGGGCTGTAGATCTATGCATCAACCTAAGGTAACGTCTTTATAAACCTATATTGAGCAAACAGTGAGCGCATTTTTTTTTTTTTTTTTTCAGTGTGAAGAAGATAGCTGCAATCGAGTAGCCTACGTGAGTACAAGTTAAATTTCATCGTATAAGATTAATGTACATTATTTTTGTATTATCGCCTTCATTTCATTTCCCCGCGATTCTTCTTAATTGCCATAATCTACTGACCTTTTCTTATAAAAACAAGCATTCATTTTAAAAATCATATGATCAAAATACATTGACAAAACGACGCTTTTCACACAATGTAACCGCTCGATAAATTCATCATGTCGAACAAGCAGCCGGGAAGTTCACGAGGGAGCGACGTTCTCACGAGCCCGGAGGAGCAGTGCAACTTCCTGGGTCTCTTGGAAGTCGGACAACCCGAGAACGGCCGAAAGAAGGAGTCGAACCATGAGATAATAGAACCGATTTCGTATGTTTCCATTTTGAAATCCTGGTTGCCGTCGACCACATCTCTCCTGGCCAAGTGGGCGTCCTCGATTAATACTATATTAACTGAGTCTTGTGATAGAATCAGGGGAGACGTTCAAATTAAGAACGTCGCGCCTCAAACGCAAAAGGCCAACATCAAACAAAGGCAACCTAGATCTCTACACCCCGATGATACGTCCACTTCCCACAGATCTAGGGATGGATCCAAAAAGAGGAGGTCGCCCTCTCAGACATCGAACAAAACCACTAACAGAGACAAGTTGAGATTCATCTCTAGAGAAGAAAATTTCACCGCGACCAAGAGCTCTCGCTCCCAGCAAACTGTCCCCAATTTTGGGAAAAAGAAGAAATCGCATAACAGAGGGCAAGGGACCGATATAACGCTTCAGGACCTGGATTTGTTGATACAGCAGTACGAAAACTCCGTGGAGTGCAAGCGTTTCGGAATGGAGTTGCCAAGTAGGCGGCAAGAGCTTCTTACAAAAATCTGCACAGACGATGTGTATTCACCCTTTGAACTCAGAAAAAGGCCGTCTATCAAATGGGGCGGTGAAAAGACAGAATACTTTACAGGACATTGCAGCATCGAAAATAACTTTTCTGACGAAGAGAATATAAACACACCGAGGAAATTGCATTCCAGCGTTTCGCTCCACGATAGCCACGTCAACGTCGGGTTCATGGACGACGATTCCGAAGAATGGCACCATTTTTCGCAAAATCTAGCCTCCAAGCTGAAATCCATGCAAGGAGAACAGGCGTCGCTAGCCGAAAGCCTCATCGGCGAAGTAGTGCAATTTGGGAAAATGGGAAAACTGAGCGCCCGAGCTGCAGATAGCATTTCCAAGTCCGTTCCACCATCTCCGGGAAATTAAAATGCTTTGCTATAATTTCTAAAACTGATTGTAATAAACTGACCAAAACAAGATTCACTTCACGACAACGAGGGAGACTCTTAAACTATTACTGTACGCCATTCAAGAATGTCCACCTCGTATTAAGTTAAGAGAATTCAACTTCCGCAAACCGCTATGGCATTAAACATATTATAGAAAATTAGTAAATTGCAATTAAATTTGAAAATTAATCAAACAAAACCTCACTATTTTTATTTATAAAGATGTAGAGTGTTCAAAACGTTAAAGCTTTATTGGTAAACGGTGCAAACCGCGTCAAATGTGAACTGGGAAGATGCACATTATCAGAAATGTTACTTTTCACGAGAAAGACACAGGCCGCTCCTTAAAAGAAATGACCGCTGTTATCATTTTTGACGCGGGTCGCAACCTGACAATAAAACCAAATAAGATCTGACACCAAGTAAATTTCATTTCGAGTTGAGTAGTAGTAATGACCTGAAACTTTGGAACTCGTGAATAGGAAATTTCAAACTCCCATCGACTGGGCCAACAAATTTTAATGATGTTTAATCCGAATGTTTATTTGTTAGGGAACGGCCGGAAGGATATAATGGAAAAACAGTAATAGACACGGAAAATCTCGAGTATCACGACTTCCCGAAGAAATCCAGCATGAAAAAGCGGTTTACCGAGATGAATTTCTTGAGCCAGAACCCCTCGTTAGAGTCTCAAGACTGCAGCGGTCAGTACGAGCACTTCGGCCTCTGCATGGCCAAGAAGATCAAAGACATGCCCTCGGAGCAGAGGATCTTCGCCGAAAAGATCATTTCCGAGGTGGTCTTCTACGGTCAACTCGGTCAACTGACAAAGAAGTCGGCGCAACAATTCTCCACGCTGGTGATGAAGAACGCTGAGGATACGGAAAATTCCCAGACGAAACCCACCGGATCGACCATGGCCCGCGAGACTGATTTCGAATTTCCACAGACTTACGTTCTGTCTCTCCCGAGCGATTTGAAACCACCCGCCAGGGATTGCCCCGTTCACGATAGTCACATACAAATCGTGAGGAAATGCGCCTGTAAAAATAAGAAAGGAACGTGTTGCGGCAAAAAATAAAGGATGTATTCAACAAAAAATACTATGTACTGTTCATTTCTTCATTCGATAAGATATCACCTAAATGTTCGTATACTAATGCGATAAGAAATTTTCGGCATAACTGGCATTAAAATTTGCGAAAGGAGTTCACACATAAGCACTACACTTGAGTTTAATTGGACACAAATAAGTTTTAACAAAATTTGAACACTCACTAATATATAAAGTTATAGTTATTAATCATATAATATTAATTATATATTTTTAGTTTTTGCGTCATTTTGTAGTAAAACATTAGGAACTACAAAACATTTGTACAGAATAAAATAAATCAATAAAAAGAACAAAAAGCAAAAACAATAATTGGTGCTATATGCTTAGATAAATACAAATACCACCCAACCAAATAACTTACTCGTATTTTTACATTCTCATCGTAATAAACTTCTATCTTAAAGCAGAAAATAGGAAAGGACTAATAAAAATTTGTAAGGGGGTAAATTGGTAAAGTAATCTAAAATTACTACTTATCGGAAACTAATTTCAAACTTTCTTGCAGTAGGATACTTAACGGCTATCATTATCTTTAAATCATAGATTTATTAATGCCTAAAATATCCTAGTAAATTGATTTTGTTTTAGGTAAAGCATTCATAGAATATTCGCATTGCTCAATATTCTGAAAGTTGAAAGAAATAACAAAAATGTTGCCCCAAAGTTCAAACGACAGCTTCGAAATAGAACGATTTTCTCAACAGGTCGCCGAAGGGATGAAGGACTTGTCACCAGGTCAGAGGATCTTGGCTGAGAAGGTGATTTCTGAAATAGTGTTCTACGGCCAACTCGGTCAACTCAACTCGGAAATGAGCAAAGGTTTTCAAAACATGATCGATAAGCCGCACGACGAAGCACATGAAGCCAGCAAAACCGAGACCACAAACGAGATCAAAGCACAAAGCAGTGCGTTGAGGCCGAAGAGAAATGCCGCGTGTTCCATCGCTCGACACGACGACCGACTACGACTTTGTTTAATACCCTCGATCCTTACTATGTCAAAACCGAAAATATGCACTCACAAATCAAGATCGAGGAATAAACACCATGGCTCAAAACAATGCATTAAACTGAAATTATCCCACGGAGGAAAGCAGGTGTGCTACCCGACGAGAAGATACAAGAAACAATTTGAACGAAAAAACGTCCGTCCACTCAAATCGAGACAATACAGTTCTTCGAATTTGACCAGCACTGCGTCGGAAACTAGTAGGACGAGCGTTTCCAAAAAAACTTCAACCTGTTCATCTTTAGACAGCACAAAATCGTTTTCAGACGTTGACAAACCCCAATAAAGTATTAAAAAACCAATTTAATTTCAATTAAAAATATAAGTTTATTTAGAGATCGTGAGATGCGGTCTATTGGTATCTACATCACACCAGACCGCATCTCACAACCTCTAAATACAAAATAATTAATCAACTGTTACTAAATACTACACATTTAAACCATATGTGAATGTATCGTAGATGGCAGAGAAGGATATCTCGGAGAGAAAAACGTAGAGAAGATGATTCGTCAGGATTGTCTTTTCTTCCGAATCCACCATTATGGCGATAAAAAAGAATCCTATCTACGTTGTCAGGGATTAACCTAGTCTAGACCATTCGTCTCCCTCTTGCAACCGACAGCTTTCGCATTGAAAATCAAACTCATCACTGGACACTGACCAGTGATTAACTTTAAACTGTAACTGTAACTGACTTCTCAACTGACTGACAAGTGACTTTTATTACCACCGAATTTTTCCGAAACTCCCCAGAAAGCTCTACGAGGGCTTTCTTCCCCTTGGCAGCTACTACTCCCTGGGCTTCACCATTTTGCATTTCATGAGCTTTTCTTTCTTGGGGATTCTCGAGCGTCCAAAAAAGATTTGCTTAATATTTTACATATCCTAATTCTAATTGTTCAATACAGTTAATACAATAATTTTTACAAAATTAATTATTAATTAGTAACACAAGTAATTAGCTATACAAAAATATCGTCTTCTCCCGACGTAGACGTCCATAGCCGGACAAAAAATCCTTTTTGAGCACCAATTAGAATACGGTTGTTGATAGTTTTTTTGCAGATTTCAGTGTATCTGGGGTTAATTACAACAAGAACCAAGTATTATTTAGCAATAACTGAATAGTAACTGCAACGGACTGTGTAAATATTAAATTTAAAAGAAAGGGGAGATTATAAGAGGAAAAAAGGTGTTAATGATAGTACACACTCGTAGGCCACATCGCGCGACTGTCCTCAGTCAAATGTTGCGGAAAAATCCAAGATGATCTAGAACTTTTGTCACGCGTCCACACTTGCACAGCTCAGTTAAACTAGTTACCACGATAACATGACCAGTGAGCCTGAGGATTTGCTGCTTGTGCAGTTTTAATTTTTAAACAAAAAAGGAAAATTAATCGTAAACCTTGGTGGAAAACGAACGTTTTGGCAGTCTGTCCTTATTTCTTCTTTCTTATTGCGGTTTTTATAATCTTCCGATGTGACGTTCCATAAACAACGTGAAGTATGAAAATATTCAATTAATAATAATGTCTTTTTCGACGACCGCACTGAGTACTCAAAACGAACAATCAACAAATATAACCGGTATTGGCGGCACATGGAGTTTCAAACAATACAAAATGTTGCGCAACAAGTCTCAAGTTTTCCTTCCGAGCTGGGAGACCATACATTTGAGATTTTTGTCCACAGGTAGTTGCAGAACAACCGATTTGTCCCCGATTTGTATATAGACAATCGCAGAACATTGTCTATAGACATAAGCTGAGCGATTTTGTCTTCGAATCAATGGAAATAAGGTTAACTCACCGTTGGGCGATTCCAGACAAACAGAAATTCTTCTATGTTCCGGTTCCAGGGGTGGCACTCGCGTGTTTGTCGGCATAAATGAGGGTGAAACGGGTAAAGAGGAAAAGGCGAAAAGACGAGGGTGATGAAAAACAGGAGGAAAAGTCAGAAAATTACAAGCTGGGCGCAAGCGAAACCGTTCGACCAGCCGGGGCGGCCATTCAGTCTTACCAACTGAAAAAACTGGCGGTCGACTTTCGATTGATAGAATTCAGAAGGCGCCGCCTTTTTCTTCGTGAGGGGGCCTTTAAAATTAACAGCGCGACCGAACATTGTCCCATATTAACTGTAAAGTTAATATATTTTTATTACTTTTAAGGTTTGCAAACGTTTTTTTAGAGGGGTTCTAGCTTAATCTTGCTAAAATTAAATTTACTTTTTCAAAAGCAATTGTATTTTGGGAGAATCTTTTGTTATTAATTAGTAACGCAGCTAATTAGCTATACAAAAATATCGTCTTCCGACGTAAGCATCTATTGTTGACATAAAAACCTTTTTAAGCACCACTTAGAATATAATTGTACATACTTTATTGGAGATTTCATTGCATCTAAAGATAATTGCAACATGAACCAAATATTATAGTTATTTATTTATATACAAATACTATCCTTGTACAAATATACATAAGTGATTACAAGTAATTACACTTAAATAGAGCTCATCATGCTAACAATATACACACTAATAAACATTACAATTTTTACATAATATGGTGTTATTTACGATAATAAATGTTATTTACATAATATGGCGTGAAATATAGAAGGTCCTATGCTGTTTAAGCTGATAAGGAATAGTGGAAAAGTTAATATTGCTTAGAAGTTGAGGGCAGTCGAACTTGTGGATTTTATTTTATCAATGTATGTATTACAATGTAATTTATAATTAAAGGTTACACTAAGATAATTTGTGATTTTGAGGATAATTAGGCGCTGTTTATGTTATATTTGTAAGTGATACAAGAGTTAGATCTATAGAAACTCATTTTGTAGCATTTTTCAACATTTAGTATTAAATTGTTTTCAACGAAGTAGAAAGCAATTTGAAAACAAAAGATGAAGTGAATTTAAGTCAGATTGAAGCAGTCATTTAATAGTTCGTAATATTTTTAGGTCGTCGGCAAAAAGAAAAGGAATGGAATGACATATAACAGAAGTAAGATAGTTAATAAAAATAATGAACAATAGTGGGGAGAGATGAGCACTCTTACTTGCACCACTTGCAATCGATGTGACAAATAATTTGAAAACCAAGATAAGAGAAGACCATTGATCCTACTGCTTTAAGTTTTGAAATTAATATTTTATTTCAATTATTCTTTTTTTTTAGGTAAGGTCTCAGTTGATATGAAAAAGTGACTTTTAGTGACTTCAGTGAAGTCACGATAGTCCAAGTGGTTAGAGCAGCGGTCTTGGTAGCTAAGGTCTTGGGTTCGAATCCCGCTCCGTGACACTAACTTTTTCAACCAAGACTACATTTGAAAAAAAATTAAATTAAGTGAAATAATTAATATGGTCAGTTACACCACTAAATATAAATAGATTAATTAATATTTTATGATCAACTCTGTCTAATGCCTTTGAGAAATCTGAGTAGATGTTATCAAGTTTTTCATTTTTCAATTTCCTTGGATATTATTTCGATCAAACAGTAATAAAAATTCACTCCCTCGTTACCCACATCAAACAAATCTCAATTTTCTTGTAAAAGTATGAACTAAACCCATTTTTTTAAAAATATATTTTAGTGCGTCGGTGGCGCTCTTCCCTGTAAGGTAAAGGTCCGGGGTTCGAATCCAGTGGCCTTGTACCCGAACCCGACATAGAAATAGGGTTTTTTTTTGTCAAAAACACCGACACTCCGAGGTTTGTTTGCAATCGTTCAAAAAAATGTTTTACAATTCAAACTGTAAATGCATTCATTCATTTCCAAATAGAAAATAACATACGTATATGATCATATAATACATCTTAACAAATAAGAATTTATTCGTTACCATTAACTAATTTTCTTCCTCGACAATGATTTACTACATTTCAGATAATCAAATAGATATTTTATCACGATATATAGATAATCAGTAAAACATTATAGCAATCAATGTGTTAAAACACCCCAAACCTCACCTAAAGTCCATCATTTTCTATCATTTTCTTACATCAACCTTTGCGGAATTTCTTCTTTACATTCAAATCGATGTTTTTTGTTATTCATACATGGCGAGCAGCACTCCTTATTCACGGTAGAAATTAAATTTTTACCACTTTATTGAACAAATATGATAATTAATTGAAGTCAGCATGTGCATACAGAGAAGTATTTGAACACTGGCCGAATGAATACACTTACCATGGCTTTTAATCTCGTCAGGCCCTCGACCCCAGTCCTTCAGGTGAAGCAAACATCCGCAAAACCAATAATCTAATTAAACTGCTAAACAAGCCGCATCTATCCACATGGATACCCCAACAGGGAATGGATTTCGAATTGTTAAATTAATAAATTAATTGAGGGTGTAAAACAAAAGCAACTAGGGAAAAACAATCTCAATAATGACCACATAACACAAATTCTGTTTTTGTAAATTAGAAATTAAATTAAACAAGAATTTTGGGGTTACTGTCAAAAATTGTATTGTTGTACACAAACACGCTTTCCTAATCCGAAAATACTGCAATACTTTCAAATATGAAAAAGTTCAACCGGTCCTCTTTCGATGGGAAATTAACCATAGCCAAGGCTATCCTTGGCCGGATTGGAGGTTGACACACTGCCTACTTTAGTTCTGTTACAGTTAAGGAAGGAAGACTGTAAAATAATATTATTTTATTGCGAAACTATTTGGACGTATAGAGCGGAGCTGAGGGTAGCACCATGCCATCTACTACTTAACTAATCCAAGCACTCCAATCAAAAGTCCTCAGGAGAATTCTCCAAACACCTTACTACGACCATAAAATTCCCTTCGTTAAAGAAATGATCCATTCCCACTTCCTCAAATTTCACTCCAATCTGTCAACCCATCCTAACCCGACTATTCAAGACCTCTCCACTACCTCCAATCCTAAGGCGATGGCCTCGACACCTCCTCGCCCTTAACAGGATAACAAATTGAGAGCCAGCCAACCGTTGGCTTCTCATGACGTGTCCTCTGGGTGTAGTGCTAACCGTAGTGTTAATGTTGTTTCCAGGATTTTATATCATAAAGAACAATATGTAAAGTGTATAATTCATACGCAGGATACAAAAAAAACAGGATTACAACAATGTAACTATGTACTAGAGGATTTCTTTGTATTAGAACTGACCTCGTCTTGGGTTGGTATATCAGGTTGAATGAACGACTGTCTGGTTCACGTTTGATGATACGTTAATATTATTTAATAGTTTGATAGTTTAGGAGCAGCATAAATGTTGCAAACAGGACATGACGTTTTGTTTGCGAA